TGAATCTATTTTTCTTTTGCAGATTATCAGCCCATAAATTTGGTGGAGTTTAAGTAATGCCCTTTATACTTGGGGGAGTCATATAAATTCTTATACCTCTTTGGTAAACAATGTCATGTACGGGATGTCCAGAAATAATGCATCTATCTTACATGTCTAAGGCAAATATGTTTTTGCTATAATTTGGTTTACTTGGCAAATACATCTCAGAACAGCTTATCTCATAATAAAGCCCAACTTCTCATATCAAATCATTTTTATTGATAGTAAGATAAAACAGTTGATTACTAAATATCATGCAAATCAGAGATGGGTTGCTGCTGGTTTGGCCTGGCTCGGCCAAACTGGTAGTGGCGGCAGTGGGAGACTCCGCCCCCCCCCCCCGCCTAGACACTTCTGCGCATGCGCGCAAGCATGAGCAAACTGGTTAGCAACCCACCACTGATGCAAATCTACTGACAGTTCAAATTGAAGCCATGTGTGGGTGAAGTGCTGCATATGTTTGTTTAACAGTATATTTTTAAAAACAAAATCTATTTTTCATGAAAACTTGGGGCAGATCTATGTAGTCTAGGGCAGGAATCGCCAACCTTTCGGATCTGAGGGACTACTAAATTTATAAGTTTAAATCCTGCGGGCTATTAATATGAATTAAAAAAAAGATAAATAGCATTTAGTGCAATATAAAAAAATGCAAATAATTTTTCTGTGAACCACAAAAATTTTCTCGTGAACCACCAGTGGCCCATGGACCATCAGTTGGTGACTGCTGTTCTAGGTGATTGGCTTCATGATCAGTCTAGATAAGATGAGGAATTGGATGTTCCCGTGTTTGGTTTCTGCTGTGCATTGGGTTACTGATACTGCTGGTGGATTAATCAAAGCCCAGTGCCCCGATTCTAGTGTCTTGTTCATTGAGGTAGATAAGACTGAATCAAGGTCATATATTTTTCTAATAAAAAAGGAATCAATGTAGGGCCATCCTGGATTAGCTACTCAAATTATGCATTAGGTACACATCTCTACTCATATTTGGACAAACTGTACTGTGTGCTTCATGCATAAAATGTATCACATTTTTTGCTTTATGCTGACATGGGTATCACAGCCAGAATTTTATATTCTGTGATATCTAAACATGAAAATTCACTCCACTGTGGGACTTCGGTTTTGTAGAGAAAAATAAACCAATCCTTTCGTGTTTCTCGTTATTTATTTTCTGATCAAATTACATGATCTGTATCACCAGACTACCTGTAGTGTTTCAAAATTTGTGTTCTTTAAAATGTTATGCTATAAATTAGATGTTATAAGGTTTCGGGGAAGTGTCGATTTTGTATATATCTGGCAAGCCACATTATTCATCCAGTTTCTTCATCCCTTTGTAATTTCAGTGTTAAATGAGATTCATAATACATTATTTCAAAACACCTATTACATATTTAGTTAACTAGACCACATACTTTTAAAAGGAAACCTTCAAAACTAGAAGGCTAAGCATAAGTGTGTGGAACATTTTTTTTACTGCTGCAAGAAAAATAATATATAGATGAAGGAACTGTAAAAATAAATATAGTGATTATATTTGATTGTTTTGCTTGCATTTATTTATTTTATTATAAAATTTATTGGCCGCTTATCTTATCACAGAGTAACTCTGGGTGGCTTACAGTCATAAAAAAGTATTTGTACAGTATATAAATTAAATTAAAGCCAAATATTAAAATCAGATGACACATGGGATGGGTGGAAACGGAGTGGAGGGAGGTGGGATCTGTTATTATTCGATCAATCACCACCTACACTGTGCTGTTCTCCCATTGAGGCCCCAAGCCAGCTGGCAGAGATAGGTCTTGAGTCCCTTATGAAGCCTTGAGGTCCTTGCTTGTAGTTGATCTTGCTTATTAAATATCCATTTATAAATTCCAAACAGTCTATCACACACACATATACTAAATCAAAGTTTTAGATTAATAAAATTCTAAAACAATACAAGAGACTTACCTCCCGTAATAAACAAGAAGCTTGTAAATCAACAAAGTGCACCATGCTAAAGTCTAAAACAATAGTGTGAATCCTATGCCTTGCATACTCTGAGTCAAGTGTATACAACTGTGTTGTAGACCTTGTTAAACGAGGGTCTGATGAAAACCACATGTTATTCAGATCCTCTTTCCTCTTTGCATAGCTATACGGACTTTCTCTTGCTGGAGATTGGACGTATTGTATATCAGAAGGGCTTCTTGTCCAACGTACCAAGGCCAAAGAAGAAGCAGAGAATGATTCATTAGCAATAGGAACTCGCTTTTGAAGTTTCTCTCTATAGGGTACCTAGAATTCAAGAGAGATAATAGATTCTAGAAGAGAATGGGGTGACACTGAAAATTATACTGTATTTCCGATTGCTCTTTACAGACTCTTCATTTTCATATGCTTAAACTTTGGGCCACTCTCAATTTAATGTCATATTTATCATTTCACTTGTTTTCTCCAAGTTCTCCCTTAGATATTGGAGGAAGGGTCTTAATTTTTGAGAGGATGTCTAACATCAGAATTCCCTCCTGCTTCCTTATGAACAAGAAAAATGTGGAATGGTAAGGGGTAAAATGGTAAGGATTTATATCAAGTCTTTCCAGTCCTCTGCCATGTTCCTGATTGGGGAAAAAGTTTACAGGAGCCATTGAGTGATCCATACTAATTCCATTCTACTGAGAAATAATTCTTAGAAGGGGCAGGGAAAGCATTCTGCCTGCTAGTACTTCCCTGCCAGGTATCTGGATTCATCAGACCATTATCTTCTTTCACATTCCACATACCATGAAAAAATGGGTACGTTTGCTTTGGAGATCATTAGCAAAATCACACTTTAGGCAATTTATGAATTATTCTAGGGAGGAAATGGTAGGCTACATTCTGCAGTTCAGGTCTTTGATTTTAATCCTAATACCCTATTAGTGGACTGTCAGTGGTCCTGGTCTCCGACTACTGGTACCAGGTTAGACTGTAATAAGGCGTCCCTCATCCAGAATTTGATTGTTGATAAAAGAGCCAACCTGGCATGTATTATATCATCTTGTGCACAGTTGTGCTTGTTCCTGGATTGGCAGGCCCTGCTTACAGATTCCAGATTAAATCTGCTCCTTCAAGTGCTTAGTTATTCATGACCTAGACACCTCCAGATTGGCCTATTGCCGTGATGGCGAACCTATGGCACGCATGCCCAAAGTGGCACACAGAACCATGCTGCCTGGCACGCATGGCATCTCCTGTTCCTCTTCCAGGTTTCTGGCTTGCATGCACACCAATCAGCTGGCCTTTTTGCATCCCACAGTGTCAGAAACTGGAAGAGCTGGTCTTCCATTTTCCATTGTGAGCATGTACGCTGGCCAGCTGGCCAGCTGATTGGTGCGTGCGCATGCGTGGCAGTAACCAGAAGACTTGCTGACCAGAAGTTCATTTTCCAGCATGCACACGCCCCCTGGGCAGCTCCTCTTCCTGGTTGTGGCTCAGATGCCTGTGAAGTGCTCCCTTTTCTGCACTCAGTGCCCCAAGTGTGCATGTGCACTCCCTTTTTGGCACTCAGGGCCGAAAAGGTTCGCCATCACTGGCCTATTGCATTGTACTCTATATGGGGCTGCCTTTGAAGAGTATTCAAAAGCTTCAACTGGTAGAGAATGTAACTCCAGGGACAATTATTGCACTCCTAAAATAGCACATCTTATACCTCTGTCTCATGAGCTGCATTGGTTGCCAGTTTGCTTCCCGATTCAAATAAAGTTACTGGTTTTAAACTTTAAAGCCCTTCATGGCTATCTGAGTTACATTCGCTTTGATTAATAAATAAAGGAAACAAATATTTTAGGGCTTATTGCTGTAGGCTGTAAGTGTAAGAAAGTGGAAAGCATTTTCCTCAGTGCTGTTTGTCTCAGAATTAAGAAAGGTTTTGAGTCAACATGTGCAACTGTGTAAACATGTGTGCACAGATAAGAAATACATCTGACCCTGGGTATCAGCTCAGGTGGGTCACAAACACAGGCACAGTTTAAGTCTTTGCTCTGTCCTTTAACACTGGACATGCTGACTGAGATCAAGGCTCGCATCTCATTTTCATCCAGAGGCACTGCCTTCATATCCATCTGAAATAGAAAGAGGGAAGTTAGACTTCTGTTTTTAGATGTGCATAGCTTTTGAACTACTTTATTGGGAGAGGATAATTTACCTTTTTCAAAATGTACTTTTTGAAATGTTTCATGTTTGCAAATGAGATAGAAGCACAGCACTGGAATATTTTCACACCCTGAATTTCTATGGCCTAAAAAGCAAACAAAACAAACCTCTTTAGATGCAGAGCCTTTTCAAAATGTTACCACATGGCAAGGAATTTTTTGCAATTCCAATCAATAGTGTGTGTTCTCAAGCTGTTATATTTGATCATTGAACATAATGGATGGCCCCTAGGTATCATGCTATTATCTCCTTCTTGTAGGTACAAGAGGGCAACGTGACTAAAGATCGGTGCTTAGAAACTCAACACACACACACAGACCCATACACAAACACACAGAAATGCACAGAAACACGAACTCTCTTGTCCCTAGGGAAAAAACAACAACCAAACTATGAACTACTGACTCTAGAAATCCTCTAGTAGGATTTTATTATAGAAAGATAATGTTTTAACAAATGTCAAAACAGGTATTTTAAGTTTTAAGCAAGTTTTTAGCAGTTTTATTGAAATTATTTGCTAATGAAATAGCAATAGTACTTAGATTTATATGTCACTTCACAGTGCTTTACAGTACTCTCTAAGTGGCTTACAGAGTCAACCTACTGCAGCCAACAATCTGGGTCCTCATTTTACCGACCTCAAAAGGGTGGAAGGCTGTGTCAATCTTCAGCCTTGAAATGGCAGTTTGAATAGAAAATCAATTTTCACTTTTAACATAAACTAATACCCGGTACATTTAGGCACATAAAATAGCATTAAAATAATGCATCAATCAAATGTAATTAATACAATTGCCATTAATAAAATATATTTTCATGGCTGATAATAGGTTAAGAAATTGAGGGGAAATTGTGCACATGACAACTATTAATTATAGTGTGTTAGGATATGTTTTTCAGTATGGTAGTCAGGATGGCAAGAATTTTGCTTGATGAAAGGTGACATTACCAATCATAATCCTGATAATTATATATAATTTCCTAACAGAATAGGAATCAGGAGTCAGTTAGTGGCTTAAAAACCCCAACTGAACTTGATGGATCTATTAGAATGTTAGAGCTGGAGAATATTACAAACATTTGCCATAAGTGAACATTAAGAGCTTTGGAGTTAAGAGAAATTCCAAGTCTTGACTTCAAACCGTGCAAAAGGTTTACAATGCACCTGGGTATGGGGGTAAATTCTAAGCTATTTTTCCTGCTCAGTCAGAGGCTGTCAACTGTTATGTGTATCATTTCATGAAATGCAGTTAAAATAGTTTCTAATCATGTTCATCACTGTCTCGGGAAGAGCCTGACACAATCATTTATGAAATTAATTTATCTGGACCTGTCAGCTGTTGATTTGCTGGTAATGGAAAATGATTATAGCAAATAAAGTATATATTCTATCTCCCTCTTACCTCACTGTAGTCAGAGAAACGGCGATAAATATTGGTGTTTGGAATCTGACCCAATATCATCATCTTCATTCTGAAACAAGGGTATACATTGGATCTACTTTCTCTTTATGAAACATAATAAAACCAATGGATCAAAATTTTCCAACCTATCTCACCCTAGAAATATGTCTGAAATATTTGTTTTTCTTAGAGAAAAGGGACAAATAATGGTGAATACAAATTGTGTTTATACATAATGTTACACTCGTCTAGATGAAGTGCAGACTCCTTTGTATCATATTTCCCACTTTTATATCTACATGGAGAAGGTGCAGGAAATATGCTATTTTTTTTTGTACCCAATAGAAAGAGCTGATTTGATGAAATATAGAGAAGCCTTGCTATTGCGGAAAAGAAATATATTATGTTGTTGGTCTGAACTGAAAGCTAATCATTTCTTCTGCATTAGGTTAGTCGCATTTGCTGGTGTTGACTATTTCTTTTAAATATCTGCATATCATACAAGAAAACTAGATAAACAATGATGTATGGGACTGCTTAGTACCTCTGGTGCTGCATGCTGTATTGATACTTGTTCCAAATATAGTAATTTGCCACAAAGTAGAATAATCCGGTAGCTAATTATTCTAACAAATGAGAGTGGAGTAGAGATCGGGAACTGGGTTAGTTACTGTGCACATGTAGGACTGTCCTGGCAAGTTCTGTGGACTCACCGGTGCAATATCACTTCACATGATCTTGAAACTATCCCTCTGTTGATGGAAGCTAAGATTGCATTAGTGTTTTTTTTGGCATCTGCAGGATATGCTGGCTCATACTTAAGTGATGGTCTACTAAAACACCTTCCAAAGCCAAAACCAAAGTAAATGGTTCTTGTTATAGGCTGCCATCAATCAGCCCCAACACCATCTAGTTTTCCAAACAGGAACTTTTTGTTCTTCCAACCAAGAGTTTCTTCTAGAAAAACAGAACTAAAAGTTCATTGGGACTCCTTGTCCAAAGACCAGAAAAACAAAACATAACAAAACATTGTGTAAGTAGTCCTCAATTTACAACTGGTCATTTATAACTCTTTGAAGTTGTGACAGTGATGGAATGGCTGCATTATAGCCTGTAAACAATCTCCAGCCCTCATAAATGGTTGCGCTGCCCCCCCAATCATGTGACTGCGGTCTTCCATAGTGATGTGACTGCTATTCACAATTCTTTCTGATGGTTTCCAGCAAAAAAAAAAAAAGCCCATTCATATGAACAGGTGTGTTTAACAACCACTCTGTTTGCTTAACAACCACCACAAAAAAGGCTGGAAAATTACTTTTGGTCATGTGCCTAATTTACGACTTACGACCAGCTTTCTGGATATGATTGTAAGTCAAGGACTACCTGCATCTGTTTTGGAACACACAGATGTGCATTAGGACTATATTTTAATGAGAAATCTACTTATTTACCCAACAGAGCCAGATTCCTAGGTGTAAAAAGCAACATACTGGAAAAAGAAAATATAGGGAAAGTACAGGAAGGCAGCAATCATCAGTTAAAGGAGTCACTTATTACCATCTCAAATAAGGTTATAGGTTTCATTATGAAGGAAGTTAGCACCCACCTCTCTCTACTAGAAAAATGAAATATCCTAGGAAATATTAAAAAGGCAGAATATTATATTTCCCTGGATGAGAAATGCAGAAACATGTTTTAAAGACAAAGCAACTCCCTGCCCCCCACTTCAGCTCCAGGATGATGGGATTAAGATATGACCCTCAGGACATGATAGGATTAGCCCTCTACCCATCTAGTAACAGAACTCACCACATGGCACCTGGGGAGATTACATTACCCAGCAAGATTCAGCCAGGCCTGGGACACAGTCAGCCTACAAAGTTAGCTAAGACCCCTACCCCTTGGGAGTCTTACAGCCAATGGGATACATTTCTTAGACAGGAATAGAAAACTCTAAGGTGGGGCCCAAGAGAGGGTGTAAAACCCAGGGGCTCTTAGCATCTCTGCCTTTTTTATTCTTCAAGATCTTCAATGCATGTGATCCCCTTTTTCCACCAGGACCTCAAGCCCTGTGATCCTGTCCACCATTAAAACCATCTTTCCAAACAGCCACCATTGTTTCCAGTGTCTTTCTCCCCACTTGGAACTGAACCCAGATGGACATTTCTTCCAACAATTATATGTTCAGAGTTCATTATAGAGAGGGCAGCTGAAGAAAGAGCTTCTGAGCATCCCATTTCATCTAAGTCTTCTTTGTTCCTTTTTTCTTTGTCCTTTTTCTTTGTTCTCTGATTTGTCCATTTGATAGAATACAAAGGATAAGGGAAAGCCAGCGTTTTGGGGCAGATGTCTTTTGCAGTATCTAATCAAACAAAATGCTCCATTTGTAATGTCCTGACGATAGTGAGCAAATCAGAAAGGGTAGCAGTTAAAGCAACCCTCCTAACAACTTTGGTGGAAAGATACAAGCACAGTTCAGCTTTTATAGCTCTAAAAGGTACTTGTAAGGGTACCCCTCACACATATGTGCTAGTCGTTCCCGACTCTGGGGAGCAGTGCTCATCTTTATTTCAAAGATGAAGAGCCAGCGCTGTCCGAAGATGTCTCCATGGTAATGTGGCCGGCATGACTAAACACCGAAGGCACAGGGAACACTGTTACCTTCCCACCAAAGGTGGTCCCTATTTTTCTACTTGTATTTTTACATGCTTTTGAACTGCTAGGTTGACCGAAACTGGGGCAAGTAACGGGAGCGCACCCCGATTCACGGCACTGGGGATTCAAACCGCCAAACTGCCGACCATTCTGATCAACAAGTTCAGTGTCTTAGCCACTGAGCCACCGCGTACCTTTATATAAAATCTACAGCTTTAGTTTTATATAAATGGGATTATATATGAGACACTTTTTGGAAGGTATGGGGATCTTTTAACATAAAATAAAGTAGCTTAGAGCAAATATAGTATAAATTCCATCTATTTTTTATATAGCCTCAAAGCAGAGAGAGAAAAGAAAAGCAGGTTTTAGAAGTAGGGCATGGAATGTGAGAAAGGATTCAGGGGAAAAAACAAGGGTACTATCTTCAACTTCCTAATGTTAGAAAGCTAAATCATGTATTAATATAAATTATTCTCAAGCCATATTATTGAATTATCAGTATCAATTTTTCAAATATGTTTTTGAACACAAAATATTTTCAAGGATGTGTATGTTAAAATATAAACCAATATAAGAGGTTTCTCTTAAAATCATTTGGATAAAAAAATGGAACAGGAATGGCACTGGACAACTAATATTTTCCCATATGATGAAAGAGATCAAGAATCAGAACATTTCCAACAGATAGCAGATTATTATCTGCTTGATGATGGAAGAAAAATTTCATTGAGCATTTAGTTTTATTACAAAGTTATTGTTATTATCAAATATTTTTCTTAAAGTTAAAGCCATCTTACAGTAGAAGGATCAGAAAACATTAACATTAGAACTTGTCATGTGGAGTAAGACAACAATATGGTAGGAGCAATACCTGTGCGATCTGACACTTATTATAAAAAAGGCAAATCCCAAAGAAATTCCTAAGCCAATATCCAGACCAAGGCAGAGGACAACTAGAAAGGTCACAATCCAAATTCCCTTTAAAAGATGAAAACAGGAACATTATGATTAATAATTTAATAATCATAAATTAAATACCCATAACCCTAAAGCAAAATACTTTGTTGGTATGATAAAGCCCTTGCAGTTTAACTGTAACAGTTGTTCTAAGAACAATAATAGCTGATACCACAATACACATAGACATATCCAAACAATACACAGTATGTATCACATTAAGAAAAGTCAACTGATATACATATTACAAAACATAGCCCAAGGAAAATACTCTCGTTATTCACCCTGACCTCTCTACCACTCCATGGAAGCATTATAGCTTTGGAACTTAAGTTTGTATTTTTTTTCTCAGAAGGTGAACATATTTCTAAACAGAGAATTGTGCTACTGTCCAAATGTTTTATGGGGTCGGTGTGAGATGTAGAAATATTAATGAAAATATAGCACACTAAATGTTCATTAATTGATTCTTAATAGTTAAAGCAATATAAAAAATTAAGATACGGCAGGGAGCCTTGTGACTTTCAAGAAATATGTTTCATGGATACCATTGGGAACATCTTCTTAAGGAGCTCTTTCCACCGCAATTCTTCTCCACTAAAGTATATGTCAGAAACTAGAGGCACAGGGTCCTTCTAATTAGTCAGAACCCATCCTGCTAGATGAATAGTGTTATCTGTACAATAAATACTGCCAAAATTTCTGTGTTGGTTAAAAGAGGTTCTGAGATTTTATTTCTAGCAGCTTCAGTATAAGCAATGGTCACCTTTGAGCAGTGGTAGGATATACTTACCTTCCCTACTGTTTTACAAATGTGAGCACTCACACGCACCTTCTGCGCATGCATAGAAGATCATGCATTACATCGGGGTGGGTGGACAGAGCCTCCCACAGCTGCCACTACTGGTTCGCCCGAACTGGAGAGGACTTTGAATACCACCTCTGCATTGAGGTTAAAGCTTAGTGGTAAAAAGCACCAAGCATTTGGCTCATAGCTAATGTTCTAATTCATTTATTTGGAGATACCACTTTCTAGGAGACCAGGAAGAACTGATATGGAGACAGTCGGAAAGTGCTCCTTGGTATCACTGAAATATTTTGGTCAAGGCTATGATGAATAGGACTAGGAAGTAGATTTCATGAAGCAAGTTATGAGATCCATCAATTTCCTCATTGGAGATGATATCTTGTTAAGCAAGGCTAACACAATTAAGGCTGGAGACCCAAAAAGTTGAAAAATCTGGTTAAAATACTGTTGTAATAATATTGCAGTAGTGTAACTAAACTACTGTGTGTTCAAGTCGCAATATGCAATGGGTCTAATCTGAAATGTCAACAACTAACCTAAAAATCAAGGATCTGTCTTCCAATAGCTATTGAGCTTAGACCTGTCCCATTAAACTGGAATCTTCACATAGATTTCAGACATTTTAAAGTATTAATACACATATTGTAGTATCCTCTAGAAATATAGTTAAAATATTTATCATTGGAAAAAGTACACAGTGAAAAAACCAACTAACCTATTCTCCTTTGGTGCCACAATCTAACCTGGGGTACCCTGAAAGATTTTTCTTTTCTTCTTGCTACTTTATGTACATTTAGCCTCTATCATCTTACCTAATTTTGCCACAAATTCATTCTTCTGACTCCAAGTTACAGGATATTTGGCATACTGGCTCTGTTCAATGGTATGCTAATTAATCTGCTACCTGGTTTAATCTGACTCTCTAGCATTATTGCACAGATCATGCAAAACTTACAAAATCATATTTATCTTGTTTCCACAGGTAAGGGACATCCATAAATTTTTCAAGAAATGGGAACATGTTGACGAGTACGATGGCAGCCAAAACAGCCTAGGTAAATTAAAAAAATGATACTGCTGCCAATTCTAAATATTATACAAAATATACACAAAATTCTAAACTGTGTAGTAGCAACTAAAAATATTTCCATAGACTTTAACAGTTTGATTAGCAAAATCATGGGGCTATATACTTTTGCAAAGATTTAGATCTTATTATTATATTTACATATTCTAATTTTCCAGAATTAGGTGAGCTCCAGGTACCAAATTATTAAAAACGTCCTTCATTGATGATGATGATGATGATGATGATGATGATGATGATGATGATGATGATGATGATGATGATATGTACAGTTAGATTCACAGTCTAAAACTTGTGGAAACTTAATAATTCAAATCTTAAATAAAACTTAAGACTTATTCAGGTAGTGTCTAAGAATATAAGCAGTTCCAAGCAGGATGTTGTGTGTGTGTAAAATTAGGTGCGCAGGTTTGATACATTCAATATTTTCAGATATTGAGGAAGTCCTTTAGGTATCCTTCCAAGGTTGCCTGTCATCATTGGTAATAATTGCAAAATACAGTTTTACTTGGAACAGCTTACATCCTGCAATGATACTTATAACACGATCAAGTATAAATATTCTGATGACCTGGGTTTTTAAAGAGAGCAATCTTCTATTCCAGCACAACATTTATATATCCAAATTATTCAGATTTTCACTTTAACTTACATTTGGAAGGGACTGGAAGTAATACCCCAATTTTAATCCTGTCACCAGCATTAAGGCAATTCCAATCAGAGCTGCAAGCTAATTTGTAAAAAAAAAAATGGCATTAGAATGTTAGCCTGATGCTGATAATTCTTTCCCATATTTTGTAAGTCAAAAGTGTCCACCTAATTCAGTCTATTTTCAGAACATAATCAGAATGATATGTACCATGTTAATTAACATGATGAAATTTCAACTACCATCACATAAAAAAAAGATTCTATTAATTTGATTAAAAGGTTAACTATTGCTAAAGTGCCTGCCAATTTCTTAATTTGACATTGGATTCCTAAAACTATTCATGACTTGCCTTCAATAAAGTTTACTGTTTTTAAGTTAGATGATCTTGATTTGGACTCAAGCTTTTTCACTATGCCAGGGATTCTCAAACTTGGAGGTAGGATATCATACAACCAATTTGGAGGAGAGTGGGATGATTGGCAGATTTTTAAAAATCTGATGAGGCATATTCAGGCAAAACCCATTCCAAGCTTTGCTCCCTGTTTTTCCCAAAGAAAGTTTTTGCAGTACCCATGATTTGTCTGTACAGGCAAAGCAGAAGCACTGTCAAAAACTCAACCTTCCCTTAACTTCTCATTTTTCCTGCCCAAGCCTACAGAAGGCAATTGTGGTTAGATCAAAATTTGTTATTACATACATAGTGGTTTATTTTTTAAGCTTATTCATTGGAGAAGGGTGTCACACAAATTCATTTACCATTGTAGAAGCAACAGTACCACTACTTTGAGAATTTGATGGAACCAGGAAACAATATCCAGACTGCAAAATCCAGGAGACAACTAGATGGCAGATAATATGGCAATGATATCTTTAACACCATGAAACAATGAACTCTGCCTATCCCAGCTCTTTAGGAAGGACTCAATAGGGGGATAAAACTGCAAAATCCAGTCTAAACATCTGGGTTATTGGGCAACCAAACATCATCATCATCATCATCATCATCATCATCATCATCATCATCATCACAACAACAACAACAACAACAACAACATACAAGGACCTGGTGAAAGCATTCAAATAATTTGGCAAAAGAAAGCAAAGATGGGGTGTCTTGGGTGCAATTCCAAAACATTTGGAGCACCGCTTGTACACCATTGGCATTGACAAAATCATTACCAGTCAATTGAATAGAGGCCATTTGAATCTGGGGTGGAAGGGAACATCATTTTAGAGGGCAGGTGCTGCTACAAAGAAGGCATGTGTTCCAATAGATGCGATTGTGAAACTAAAGGAACATGGAGTACACCATTCTTGCCACATCAGTTCAGCCAATTTGATGGTGTTACCTTTGGTTGGTATTTTCTATAGCTTTTTACTACAGTCTAGTGATTTTCCAGAGTTTACAGCCTAGATATTGTATTTCTTGGTTCAACATTGGACCAGTTGCCTCGCCTCTTACATACTACCCTACTTAATAGCAAATTCTTGATAATGCATGACCATGGCCATGAACACCCAAGACTTAACTCAAGTTTAAATCATAACATTTCTTCAAGTCTTCACAGACTCTCTGTGATGACATCATGGCCCCCCAGGGATCTGCGGACCACAGGTTGAGAACCATTGCTCTATGTCAGTGATGGCGAATCTTTTTCACCTCGGGTGCCAAAAGTACGCATGCGCTATTGCACATGCTCGTGTGCAAACCTCCATAATTTAATGGTCCCCATTAAGTGGCTCCTGTGCATGCTCATGTGACCCCCTCACTGCCCCGTGCATGCGCGCACGGCTTTCTTGGAGTCTGGAGTGGGGGGGAACGGCCCAATGCACAAACCAGAAGTTTGGGAACAGACTTCCGGGTTGCCTGTTGGGCCATTTTTCTCCCTCTGGAAGCTTCAGGAGGCATGAACACTGGACCTGACAGGACAACGCCTCGCGTGCCCTCACAAATGGCTCCGTGTGCCACCTGTGGCACACGTGCCATAGGTTCGCCATCATGGCTCTGTACTGACTATCTTAATCTATTAATTTGCTTTTTAAACTGTAACATGTAATGCTTGTTACATTTTTAACATTTATCTAGATGGCAATAGTGTACTTGGTCAACATTTCTTAATTCAAGGACACAAATGTTACCAGACTTGTTTATTTCTTGGATGAGAGATTAAGGTACATTACACTAATGAGTTAGACTGAGGAGTCAAAAAGATATCCTGAAAGATGACAACTATAAAACATTTCTGACAGTTGCCAAAAAAAAATCCCATGTCAACAAAGTCACCAAGAACTGAGCTTGATCTGAAGGAGAGTTCCCCTGTTCTTCTGACTTAAATATAATTATATTTTATAATAATGCTAATCAAAATTTATGCAAACATGTATGTGTCTAACCCAAAAACCCTAATAGGGTAAACAAGATTTCTGCCCATGACTTCTTGCAGACAGCATCTCTATTGAGATTGATAATAATGCTCCAAGGGCAGCCATTGAAGTGATAATACAATTTTTCAAATGCTGTAGTTATTTAACATTTTGCTCGTGCTAACAAACTCTGTAAAGCATGGTCCATTTTGCATGGTCCAAAGAGCAGAGAAAACCATGTTCTAACAAATACACCCAAATCTAGACTTGAAACATCACTGGAGCTAACTCACCTGTGTTTTTCCACCAGTCTTCTCCTGAATAACAGTTGTAGAAATTGCACAGCTGACAGAAAAACTCTTAAAAAATGAACTGAAGACATTGCATAGGCCAATTGCTATTAAATCCTGTACATGATAAATAAAGATAAACCTCTTGGTATTCAGATTACTGTGCTGAGAAATAAGGACTACAAATATTTTCCATTAGAAAAAATAAGGATGAGGAACTTCAGAATATCAATATATCCATATCAAAAGATGTTTCTGTTTTAGGGAGACATTTAGTCATTACAGTTAATGTATCTCTTAAATAAACAGTGCTTTTTTGGAAAAATGGACCCTACTGCTTTCTTGAATATTTTTAGGTTTGCACAATGCCTGCAGAACTCAGAGGAATCCACAGGAAGGATCAGCAGCATCACAATGGTGACCATGATTTCAGCACCCAAAGTCCCACTTCTTTTTACATGCGTGTAATACGTGTAATGCATGTTCAGAAGGAGGTGGGCTTTGATTGCCAAGTTTTATCTGCAATTGTGATGCTGTTGACACACCACTGCGGGTGCCCCTGGAGGGACTTCTGCCTAATCATGTTCAAAAGGTGTAAAGTATAGTCCAGTGTTTTTCAACCTTGGCAAGTTTAAGATATGTGGATTTCAACTCCCAGATTTCCCCAGCCAGCATGACCAACAACAACAAAAGTAATTGCCCATTAAAATTATGGCTTTATCTATTAGGTATTTATAGAAAACCATTCTATAAATACCTAATAGATAAAGCCATAATTTCAATTATAATTTCAATGGGCAATTACTTCTGTTGTTGTTTCTTTTTGGACTTGTAACTTTGATTTTATGTGTTGTGATAGGCTTAAAGTCTTTCAGAACAGTTTAATTGCATTACTGATGCTGTCACACTTTTAATCAGGAGCACCCACAGGGACTTAATTTAGTTTATTTAATTTAGGTCTGCCTGACTCCAAACAACTCGAGGTGGCTTGTAATGTAGTAAATAGATTAACATGCAATACAATTCAAAAACAAATCAACAAAAATAGATAGGAAAGCAGATAAAGCACAAGATGGCAAATCTGGCCCTGATATGGAAAGAGCCAGGTCTTCAAAATGCTCTGAGAAACTAATAGTATGGATATCAGGGGGAGCTTCATTCTGGGGACAGGCCCCACAATAGAGGAGGCATACCTCCTGGGTCCCAAAAGATGACCCATTTTAATTGAAGGGATCCAAAGTGTGACAACCCTGTGAGTTTGTATTGGCTGGATAGCAGTGAAGTGCGGTGAGGTTTATGGCTGGTGAGGCACTGACACAGTGGTGGGTTTCAAATTTTTTTAGACTTGT